AGATCAGGTCATCCATATTACCAGAATAGATGTTTTCAGGAATTACATATGCCACTTCTTGACCAGTTATTCAGTGGTCTGTGTCATGGATCTCCGAGACACTGATTATATCTGAAATCTGCTTCAGTTTCTTGGACCTGCCCCTTTAGCAATCTAAGTTTTACCAAAAAAAGCAAATAATTAAAAATAAATTAGTACTGTAAGTGTCAAGTGTCACGCTGCATCCCAATTCGCCTGCTTATGCTGTGCCCTAAAAGTATGTACTCTTTTTGTGAACAAAAAGTACATACTTTAGAGTGAGTAGCAGAAGAGTAGGCAAGGTTTGGGACATAACTGTCTCTTTAATAACCCGTCAATCATCTTGTCACAGATCCTCTACATTTAATTTATTAGAATTATAGAAGCACGTTGATCAGTCATGAGTCTTTTATGCGAAAAACTTCCCTCGTTCGCTGCTCCCTTCTCCGTAAGCTTGGGATATCTTTTGAAGTTCATTCACTGGACAAAATGCATTCGTCACCAAACACAGAAGACGCTTGAATTGTATTGAAATGTATTATTAATTTAATATAGATTTTCATATTTGAAAGCACTAGACTAAATTATAAATGTATGTTGGGATAATTAATATGAAAATAAATGTAATTTGGTTATATTAGATATCTTTTATTTAACCATAATCATGATATTGTAACTGTTGTGCTCGCATTATACCCACAAACAACTGCACGTAAATTATGACTGGATTAATTCAACTTAATAGTAACAGCAGAGCCTCAACATCTTTTCACCGTGTTTATTTTAGACAGACCTCTTACAGTGTGTGGTGACAGGAGGGTAAATTTCCCTCTCAACTTCCAGTGAAGTGATGTATTGACCGTCCCTTATTCCTAAATTATGCCTTTCACAGTGCACTTTAAACTATTTTGCGCCTCTTCCTCAGCTAACCTCACATACATGATGCACTATCTACAGATGTTTCCTAAAACCGCAACACAGCTCTTATTATTTCCCCGACACATTCTTGGTAATGACTTTTGCTGGGGCTTTGCGGCGAGCTTTAGCCTATTGCATGCATTTGAACGCAGATCTCTTCAGCTGCGCTGATGGACACTAAACAGAGCCGCTCTTGACAGTCGCTGTAGCACAGTCTCGTGTTGTTTCCACCAGCGCGCCAATTTTTTTTTCATCACTAATTGATGGATATCTAAAATATAAAAATTAGGAGAAGCCTAAAACAGCCCCGAGGCCCGGCCCGCATCTGAACTATGACATGAAAACTGGCCCAAAGCCTGGCCCGAGGGGCATAAAAAACGTCAGGGCCCATTGGGCCCAGGCTGAAATGCAGAGCTCTAGCGCTCTGGAGCAGGTTTTCATCAAGGATGTCTCTGTACATTGCTGCATTCATCTTTCCCTCGATCCTGACTAGTCTCCCAGTTCCTGCCGCTGAAAAACCTGCCACCACCATGCTTCACTGTAGAGATGGAATTTGGCCAGGTGATGAGCAGTGCCTGGTTTCCTCCAGACATGGCGCTTGCCATTCAGGCCAAAGAGTTCAATCTTTTGTTTCTCATGGTCTGAGAGTCTTTCAGGTGCCTTTTGACAAACTCCAGGCGGGCTGTCGTGTGCCTTTTACTGAGGAGTGGCTTCCGTCTGTCCACTCTACCATACAGGCCTAATTGGTGGAGTGCTGCAGAGATGGTTGTTCTTGTGGAAGGTTCTCCTCTCTCCACAGAGAAATGCTGGAGTTCTGTCAGAGTGACCAGGTTCTTGGTCACCTCCCTGATTAAGGCCCTTCTCCTCCGATTGCTCAGTTTGGCCAGGTGGCCCGCTCTAGGAAGGGTCCTGGTGGTTCCAATCTTCTTCCATTTACGGATGGAGGCCACTGTGCTCATTGGGACCTTCAATGCTGCAGAAATTTTTCTGTACCCTTCCCCAGATCTGTGCCTCGATACAATCCTGTCTCGGAGGTCTACAGACAATTGCTAGGACTTCATGGCTTGGTTTGTGCTCTGACATGCACTGTTAACTGTGGGACCTTCTTGTCCAATCAACTGAATTTACCACAGGTGGACTGCAGTCAAGTTGTAGAAACATCAAGGATGATCAGTGGAAACAGGATGCACCTGAGCTCAATTTTAAGTGTCATGGCAAAGGCTGTGAATACTTATGTACGTTTGATTTTTTAATTTGAATAAATTTGCATAGATTTCAAACAAACTTCTTTCACGTTGTCATTATGGGGTATTGTTTGTAGAATTTTGAAGAAAATAATGAATTTAATCCATTTTGGAATTTTGGAACATAAAAAAAAAAAAGTGGAAAAATTGAAGCTTTTCGGATGCACTGTAGGATCAGCTCCAGCATCCTGCAAGCATACAAGCAGCAAGAATGAATAAATTATTTAAAATACTTTGTCTAATATATATTTAGCAATAATAAGAAAGAAAGACAAACTGCTTAGGGTTGCTTATTGCAGCCAATTAATTTAAGATGAAATCAGTGGAAACAGGATGCACCTGAGCTCAATTTTAAGTGTCATGGCAAAGGCTGTGAATACTTATGTACGTTTGATTTTTTAATTTGAATAAATTTGCATAGATTTCAAACAAACTTCTTTCACGTTGTCATTATGGGGTATTGTTTGTAGAATTTTGAAGAAAATAATGAATTTAATCCATTTTGGAATTTTGGAACATAAAAAAAAAAAAGTGGAAAAATTGAAGCTTTTCGGATGCACTGTAGGATCAGCTCCAGCATCCTGCAAGCATACAAGCAGCAAGAATGAATAAATTATTTAAAATACTGTCTAATATATATTTAGCAAGAATAAGAAAGAAAGACCAACTGCTTAGGGTTGCTTATTGCAGCCAATTAATTTAAGATGAAACAGTTAGTATATGTAGGCTACTGGAAACTCAACAAGGAATGAACTGTGCTGATAACAAAATATTTCAGAGCTGAGCATAACTAGAATATTTCCATGCTTTTCCAGATCATAAATTTAAAGTTGCCTGGTATTTACAGGGTTCCACAATCAGCAAATGTATCCAGATATTACAATTTTAAATTGAAATCGAATTAATAAGCTAAAAAAAAAAACAAGTCATTGTGTTCAGTTTATGTCAATTTATTTATGATATTCCAGTTGCATTGTTACATTTCACAGCAAGGTAGAAGTTTGACAAATATTTTGATTCAGTGGAATGAACACATGGAATTGAGTGACAGCTCAACATAGTCGAAATTAGATGAAATCTACTGTAACCACTCAATATTTGAAACTACAGCCAAGATGGTCAGGTATGGCCACAGGAGTACACAAAAGAAAATAAACAGCCTTATGGTGAAGCATAAAGAGGTGCAAATAAAAGAAGTAAAAGGAGTCATGAAGGTGACAATCAGATGTAGGAGCCCGGTCTCATGAAAATGCGTATAAATAGTACGCCAAATAAAAATGAAAACTTGTGGTATTTATATGCAAAAATGGACTTTGGTGTGTATATGATACGCATGTGTTTGGCGTGCGTATAATACGCAGTTTTCATGTATTACACAAAGATAATGCAAGTAAATACAAAATGCAGTTTTTAAATGATTATTTGTTTTATTAAGGGAAAAGAGCTGTCCAAACCTGCCTGGCCCTACGTGAAAAAGTATTTGCCCCCTTAATCTAATAACTGGTTGTGCCACGCTTTGCAGCAACTACTGCAATCAAGTGTTTGCGATAACTGGCAATGAGTCTTTCACATCACTGTGGAGGAATTTTGGCCCACTCTTCTTTGCAGAATTGTTTTAATTCAGCCACACTGGAGGGTTTTCCAGAATGAAAGGACTGTTTAAGGTCATGCCACAGCATCTCAATCAGATTTAAGTCTGGACTTTGACTTGGCCACTCCAAAACCTTAATTTTGTTTTTTTTTAGCCATTCAGAGGTGGACTTGCTGGTGTGTTTGGGATCATTGTCCTGCTACAGAACCCAAGTGTGCTTGAGCTTGAGGTCACAAACTGATGGCCGGACATTCTCCTTCAGGATTTTCTGATAGAGTGCAGAATTCATGGTTCCGTCAATTAGGGCAAGTCGTCCAGGTCCTGAAGATGCAAAGCAGCCCTAGATCATCACCTACCACCACCATGTTTGACTGTTGCAATGATGCTTTTTATGAAATGCTGTGTTGGTTTTACGCCAGATGTAACGGGACACACACCTTCCAAAAAGTTGGATATTCCTTTCCAGACTGATACATGTCAAGTGTTTTGATTCTCATCTGTTCTTGAATTTCTTTAGATCGCGGCATGATGTGTTGCTCTTTAAGCATGCTTCACTTTGTCAGACAGGTTCTATTTAAGTGATTTCTTGATTCAACAGGTCTGGCAGTAATCAGGCCTGGGTGTGGCTAGTGAAATTTAACTCAGCTTTCTAAAATAATGTGGTTAATTGCAGTTCTTTCATGATTTAACAGGGCCAATTTAATTTTTCACATAGGGCCACGTAGGTTTGGACAGCTTTTTTCCCTTAATAAATGAAATCATCATTTAAAAACTGCATTTTGTATTTACTTGCATTATCTTTGTGTAATATTTAAATTTGTTTGATGATCTGAAACATTAAAGTGTGACAAACATGCAAAAAAATAAGAAATCAGGAAGGGGGCCAACACTTTTTCACACCACTGTACACGCCAAAGTCCATTTTTGCGTATCAATACCACGAGTTTTCGTTTTTATTTGGCGTACTATTTATACACACTTTCATGAGATCGGGTTGGATGTAGCCTGCATTCAGCTGCAGCGTGAACGTAGCCTTGATTTCACACAGCATTTTTCTTCTCATACTTTTCAACAAAGAACACAAACAGGGTCTCACATTTGCATGACTTCACACATGTATCTATGTGAAAAGGAAAAAAAAAAAAGTTATTACACTGACCATAATTGAATTGCCTTCCAGAATGAACGCACAGATGATTGTAGAAGTTGCTCATTTTCTAAACGTCTTGTCACACTGAGGAAAACGGCAATTTCTTCCCAGAATGAGTTTTCAAATGATGTTTCAGGTCTTTGTTATACGTGAAACTCGTGTCACACTGAAGACATGTGAATGGCTTCTCTCCAGTGTGAATCCTCATGTGAGTCACCAAGTTTCCTTTAACTCTGAAACTCTTTCCACACTGTTTGCAGGTGAAAGGTTTCTCTCCTGTGTGAATTCTCAAGTGAGACTCAAGGTTTGCATTGTTTGTGAGACTCTTTCCACAGTGATGGCACATGAAAGGCTTTTCTCCTAAGTGAATTGTAACATGATTCTTAAGACATTTCTTGTCTATGAAACTCCTTTCGCACTGATGACATTTAAAACTGTTCTCTCTTGAGTGAATCCTCATGTGATTATTAAGGTTTTCTTTATATCTGAAACAGTTTCCACACTGATTACAGATGTAAGGCTTCTCTCCAGTGTGAATTCTCATGTGAACATTATGGCATTTTTTCTGTTTAAAACTCTTTCCACATTGAAAACATATGAACGGTCTCTCTCCGGTGTGAATTCTCATGTGATTATTAAGATCTCCATTTACTGTGAAACTCTTCCCACACTGTTTGCAGGCGTAAGGTCTCTCTCCAATGTGAAACCTCATGTGGACATTAAGGTTTTTTTTGTGTGTGAAACTCTTTCCACACTGATCACATTCATACGGTCTCTCTCCAGTGTGAATCCTCATGTGAACATTAAGGGATTTTTTCTCTTTAAAACTCTTTCCACACTGAACACATATGAACGGTCTCTCTCCAGTGTGAATTCTCATGTGAATTTTAAGATCTCCATTTACTGTGAAATCATTAAGGTGCGCTTTTTGAATTAAACTCTGCGCACTTGGATGGCATGCAAGGTTGATGGCAGTGTGAGATCTCAGGTGAACATTCAAGTTTCCTTTCTTACTGAATCTCTCTCCACACTGATGGCACGTGAACGGCCTTTCTCCGGTGTGAATTCTTAGGTGAATGTTAAAGGTTCCTTTCTGACTGAAGCTCTTTCCACACAGATGGCATGTGAACGGCTTCTCTCCGGTGTGAGTTCTCATGTGTTCATTCAGGTGTCCTCTTTGATTGAAACGCTTTCCACATTGATTGCATGAGTAAGGATTGACTTTAGAGTGAGTTTTCATGTGACACTTAAACTTTTTGTTACATGTGAATGTTTTTCCACACTGGAGGCAAGTTAAAGGGTTCTCTTCGGTGTGAATTCTTCTGTGAATCTGAAGTTTCCTTTTATAGGCGAAACTCTTCCCACACTCATTGCAAGTGAAAAGTCCTTCAGTGTGGATTCTCATATGCCACTTCAGGCTTCCTTTATGCGTGAAGCTCTTTCCACACTGATGGCACACGAACGGTTTCTCTCCGGTGTGAATCCTTAAGTGAACATGAAAGTATCCTTTATGACTGAAACTCCTTCCACAGTGAGGGCATGTGAATGGTTTCTCTCCAGTGTGAACCCTTAAGTGATCATTAAGGTGTCCTCTATGAAGGAAACTCTTTCCACACTGATGGCATTTGAAAGGATTCCCTTCAGGGTGCATTCTCATGTAGCGCTTAAGAGTTTCTTCAGTGTGAGTTCTCATGTGCCATGAGAGGCTTGCTTGATGTGTGAAACACTTTCCACAGTGAGTGCATGCGAAAGGCTTCTCTCCGGTGTGAATCCTTAAGTGATCATTAAGATGTCCTCGATGAATAAACCTCTTTCCACACTGAGGACACACGAAGGGCTTCTCTCCAGTGTGACTCCTCGTGTGAATATTAAGGAGTCCTTTATGATCGAAGCTCTTTTCACATTGGTGGCACGGGAAAGGCCTCTCTCCAGAGTGAGTTTTTACGTGATTCTGAAGAGTTAGTTTGCTAGTGAAACTCATTTCACACTCATAACACGAGAAAAGCTTCTCTCCAGCGTGGGTTTTCATGTGACACTTAAGGTTTCCTTTATTTGTGAAACTCTTTCCACACTGAGGGCAGGTGAAAGGCCTCTCTCCAGTGTGAACTCTTAAGTGAATCTCTAGGTTTGTGAGACTTGTGAGACTCTTTCCACAGTGATGGCACATGAAAGGCTTTTCTCCTAAGTGAATTGTAATAAGACATTTTTTGTGAGACTCTTTCCACAGTGATGGCACATGAAAGGCTTTTCTCCTAAGTGAATTGTAACATGATTCTTAAGACATTTCTTGTCTATGAAACTCCTTTCGCACTGATGACATTTAAAACTGTTCTCTCTTGAGTGAATCCTCATGTGATTATTAAGGTTTTCTTTATATCTGAAACAGTTTCCACACTGATTACAGATGTAAGGCTTCTCTCCAGTGTGAATTCTCATGTGAACATTATGGCATTTTTTCTGTTTAAAACTCTTTCCACATTGAAAAACGGTCTCCGGTCTCTCTCCGGTGTGAATTCTCATGTGATTATTAAGATCTCCATTTACTGTGAAACTCACTGTTTGCTGTTTGCAGGCGTAAGGTCTCTCTCCAATGTGAAACCTCATGTGGACATTAAGGTTTTTTTTGTGTGTGAAACTCTTTCCACACTGATCACATTCATACGGTCTCTCTCCAGTGTGAATCCTCATGTGAACATTAAGGGATTTTTTCTCTTTAAAACTCTTTCCACACTGAACACATATGAACGGTCTCTCTCCAGTGTGAATTCTCATGTGAATTTTAAGATCTCCATTTACTGTGAAACTCTTCCCACACTGTTTGCAGGTGTAAGGTCTCTCTCCAATGTGAATCCTCATGTGGACATTAAGGGTTTTTTTCTGTGTAAATCTCTTTCCACACTGAGGGCATATTAATGGCTTCTTTTCCATGTGAATTTTCATGTGGACTGTAAGGCTTCCTTTTCGATTGAAAATTTGTCCACACTGTTGGCAGGTGAAAGAGCTCTCTCCAGTGTGAATTCTCCTGTGGGAATTAAGGCTTGTAGTTTGTGTTTTTGTAGCTTTATTTCGTAAGAAAATCTTTTCAGAACTTGAGTAACTAATTGATTTGTCTTCAGTTTTGAAGTCATGATGTTTCTCCTTTCGGTCTTTCTCTTCTGTTTCATTCAGTTCTTGACTCTCCTCTTTCAGTGCCATCAGGTCTGGTGAAATAAGAAAAATACAAGTTAAAACCAGTTTAATGGCACAAAGCAAAAGACGTCAAATCATTTAGACTAGTGCAGTCGATCAATTATAAAATTAACCAATTAATTGCGCATTTTAAGTAACGAATTGCATTTTAACATAATACATATTGTCAAAATTTCACATCGAATCTCCAAATTAATGTAGAAACTACAATGATTGTGCATTTAAAATATGTGGTTTACTGGCATCCTTTTTCCAAGTAGCATATTATTATGAGGGCCATCATTGATATCAATACTGCTACTGATCTGCCTCTATTAAATGCATTTCCCCCGAAATTTTAGCCATTAATTACAGCCATTCAACATTACATTACAGTATAATTGAAAGCCATTATAGGTTTTCCTTATTATACACTTAATAGGCTTTGAAAAATAGTGAACTTAAAACACAATCTTCACAAAGTGTGCTATAGATCCCCTGAGGAACAATTCCGCTCATTCTCTACTATAGGAGAGGAAGAGTTGTATAAACTTGTTAAATCATCTAAACCAACAACATGTATGTTAGACCCTATTCCATCTCCAAGCTCCTAAAAGAGGTGCTTCCAGAAGTCATAGATCCTCTTCTGACAATTATAAATTTGTCATTGTCATTAGGATATGTCCTCAAAACTTTCAAACTGGTTGTTATTAAGCCTCATCAAAAAAACACAACTTGACCCCAAAGAACTAGTTAATTACAGACCGATCTCGAATCTCCCTTTTCTGTCCAAGATACTAGAAAAGGAAGTATCCTTACAATTATATTCCTTCTTAGAGAAAAATGGTATCTGTGAGGATTTCCAGTCAGGATTCAGACCGTATCATAGTACTGAGACTGCTCTCATTCGAGTTACAAATTACCTGCTCTTATCATCTGATCGTGGTTGTATTTCTCTATTAGTGCTACTGGATCTTAGCGCTGCGTTCGACACTATTGACCACAACATTCTTTTGACTAGACAACTTTGTTGGCATTAATGGAAGTGAATTAGCATGGTTCAAATCGTACTTATCTGACCGCCATCAATTCGTAGAAGTGAATGAAGAGGTATATCTGTCACAAGTGCAGTATGGAGTACCTCAAGGCTCAGTTCTAGTGCCGTTACTTTTCACGCTTTACATGTTACCTCTGGGAGATATCATCAGGAAACACGGTGTTAGCTTTCACCGTTATGCTGATGAAACTCAGCTCTATATTTCTATTTCTTCACAGCCCGGCGAAACATACCAATTTGAAAAGCTAATGGAATTTCTCGCAGAAATGTTCATTAATGCGTTCATGACCTCAAGTTTAGATTATTGTAATGCTTTAATAATAATTAAATTAATTTATAATTTAATTAATAATAATTTATGCATTTAGCAGACACTTTTATCCAAAGTGACTTACAGTGCATTCAGGCTATACATATTTTACCAGTATGTGTGTTCCCTGGGAATCGAACCCACGACCTTTTGCGCTGCTAACGCAATGCTCTACCAACACACAAAACAACACTGCAACTAGAGTTTCTGAAAATATTCACCCTGGCAGGATTTTTCAAAAAGGTTCAGTTTTAGTGACCTGATACTAGATTGGGGAGTGGACAAATTACCAAAAAGCTGTTCATGTGGACAGGGCCTTAAACACTTAAAATATTATCAAGATTATTATCCCGATCCACTCTGTGAAGGCACACATTTCTCATTCAAACACACCTCACCAGATTAACAGCATGCCGCATCTGTTAAGCAGGTAAGAGCCAATGAGCATTCACTTCTACTGCCGTAAAACCTGTTGTAACGCTTCTTGAAGCAGCAATTTTTTAATTTGTAACAAGCACCAGAGCTGCCAAGTCCACTTATAATATGCAACTTTGGGCTTCTTTTTTATTTTGTTAAGCTGCGTTTTAAAAAATCCCGGGTCGAGTTTTTTAGACTTATTTTTAAAAATATGGTTGCTTGTTAGGAAAATCTGACAAGCAACTTCTTTTCTTTACATTTATGGTCACCCTTTTCTCCAATGCATTGATTGACACTCTGTCTGCTCAGAGATATGAACAAGTTAAATTTAAGACTTTTTAAGACCTTTTTAATTCCATTTTATATGAAATTTAAGACCAAACCTCTGATGGAAAAATCACATCATTTTACATACATATGTAATATTTAATGTGTTAAATATAAAAAAAAAAAAATATTGCTGTCAAAAATGCCATTTATTATTACGGTATACAGCAAAATTTTCACATCAGCAGACAATATCCCCACAAAAGCACTGCATCACCGAGATTTCTGATGGTGTAAACAATTTATTCTGAAGCAATATTTTATCTGTTCTATTAGCTTTTACATTCATCTGCATATTTTTATTAACCTCAAGATGTATTTACCTTTATGAAGGCCATTTTTTTAACCTTACACATGTATGCATCATATTTCATGTCAAATTCTTACAAATTTGATGCAGATCAATAGATTCAATTTACACTATAAGGCTGTTACCAAACAAATTAAATAATTTACACTGCACAATTACAACAACAATAAATAATGATTAATGTTTTAAATACAATTTTGAATACAGGGTTATTTCCAGGAATCATGGAGTTAAATTTAATACCTTTTTAGACCTTTTTTTAAGACTCTTACCATACATTTTAAGACCTCATCGCCACTCCAAGTTTTAACTGGTTACATTGGCGACACTTTAACTTACATTTATTATATATTGATTGTAAGATAGCACAACTAAACAGTCTTATTTTGTGACAACTCCTCATCAATTCAGAAGGGTGGGAACAAAGCACAAGAGAATTAATTGAGTGACTAACCCAATGCAACCCAAGAAACAAGAATTAGACCAATAAACAAAACAACTGACAAAACTTATTGAAGAGGGAAAATAAAGCTCTCCGAGCTAACGGGACAATGAGTTTAACACAGTACATTCGAAAGATGTATTTGTAACATCAACTCTTATAAATGTCTGCAAACCATAGCTCTTTTGTAGAACACTGAAAAATACATGACAAACACCTGACTGGTCAGACAGTTTACCTGTGATTACGGAGTGCTTGATTTGATGCAGACTTGACACAGAGTGTCAGTACTGCACCTGCTAAAGTCTGAATGATCATGGAAGGTAAAATAATGATCACAACTATTACATCCTTTTAATTGTGCATCCCCTACACATGCCAGTAAAAAACAGCCTAAAGTAGCGCATCGACCATGTCCCAAATATCAAAATATGCTATAGCTCAAAGGCTTCCTACTAGTGGCCCTCATTCAAAAAACATTTAGCACAGTTTTATTACAGGTAAAATGCAAAATGTTTGAGTAAAAGCATTTCAGTCAAATGTAATTTATGCGATATTTCAAATCTTTAACCCAAGGGGGAAAGCAAGCCATGGCAACAGTTTAAAAGCAGCCCAATTCCATGGAAAAAAACAACCCTACCTCCAACACGAGCTGCAGGAGTCAGATTTGACTGATCACGGGTCGAGAGTAAGGAGAGATGACTGACAAGATATGCAAGATATGGAGGATATGCTCCTCAACAGATCCTGAGCTCATTGACAAATATCTTATATAGTAAGGTGTGGTCGCTTTACACAGTGCGATCGCAAAATCAAAAGTGAACTGTGACTGCGAGCGCTCATTCAAAAGCGATTTAAATACCCCACATATTGATAGCGGCTCCCTGGTGCGCAAAAATTATATACAATATTAGAATGTTCGGGCGGTAATGGTCAGAAATTCAGCCAGAGCAGGATCAAGTAACAAGCCTCATGCAGGGCTCTAACCTGCGCTATCACGCAGCGGCACAGTCTTTCCATAAATAAACTACACAGATCCCCACTATTCGGACAAATACACATAATGAAAAGATTATACAAAAGTTAATACCTTGGAAAATGTCATTTAAGACTTTTTAAGGGCCTTAAATTGATTTATCAACTTTTAATACTTTTTAAGACCCCGTGGACACCCTGGGATATACAAATAAGAAATGTTGGTACTTTTAAACATACTAACCCCGCCAGTAGGTGTCGGTAAGTCACTTAATGAGTGAGTCATTGAGTCATTCATTCAACCGATTTGTTCAAAACGCTGAATCACTCAGTAACAAAACACCGCCGAGTGTTGCTCTGAGATTGCGCAATACTTCTGCTGTGATCTTTGTTTGGAACCATTTTAGTTAGTGAAACAGAACAAAACAGTCAATATTATGTCTAAAATGTAAGCAACTTAATTATGTGACTACTTAACTACTTGTTTATTTAACTAATATCAATGTAACATTTGCAATCCTGAGAATATTCGGCAATTGGCTCCCTTGGCATGGTATGTTGTGTAACTACATCATGTTATAAATAAAAAACTCAACATTTAGAATTTTTACCTCAGTATGTCTGAGTTTCTTTTTGTGTTCCATTAAGCTCTTTTGCTCAAATGAACCTTGATACCAGAAATACACTATCTATTATCATTATTCATTGCTGTTTACACTGAATGTAAGAAAATCAGAAGAATAATTCTCATATTTCGATGCTTCACTAGTTGTTTTTTCACACATTAAGTTTTAATCAGGCTATTTGTCCGGTCGGGCAAGTAAAATTCTTGAGCCATTTTATCAGTAAACTTGCATTAACCCATTTTCAACTAGCTAGGAGGCTGGTCAGCTAGGTGTAGCATGCAGTTACAGCAGGGGGAAAAATCTGTCTGTTCAATGATTTCAAACAGTCACTGGATCTGTCAGACTGGAGACATTTTTGCGGTAATGGGACCGAAAATATTTAAGATCCATCGAATCGGAATTTAAGACATTAAGACTTTTTAAGGACCCGCGGCCAATATAAGTGCTGTAGTGTAATTCATCAAACATTCCACCCCCTCCTCCCCTCACTGGAGAAAAATCACGTTTAACGTGAATGTGTGCGATGCTGTACAAGTGACAACAGTAGTAGGATGACCTTTTTT